AAATGACAAAACATCTTCGCCAAACAAAATCGTAGAACATAAAAAAAGGAAGTATTATGAAACACACTAGTAATTCAATTACATTTCCTGCTTATAAAAAAAAGAATGGCATAATGTTTTTTCACAAGTTATTTTTATCATCATATGTCAATTTTATATAAATTGCATTGTTACATATTTCATTGAATATGTCTCTAAATGAATGCAGTCACTTGAGTTGCAATGAGAACCCATATTTATAAAAGTTTTCAATCACACTCACAGACATTTAGGAAGACATGGTGATTTCGTTGACAACAAGTCTGAAGTTTTTTATGTATGTGACTTTCCAATGACTTTGCGAATACTTTCAAATTGCTACCTTGTTTTATTGAAATAGATAATATTTTGTGTGTTTTTAAATGCAAAGATTTTGTGAGAGGTGAAAACTATTATATTTTACTTTATGAATTTGGTTGTGTATTGTGATTGTTGGTGAACTATTTTTATAATAATTCAAAGCAATAAATTTGTAGAAAATTCTTTATTGAACTAGATAGTATATTACGTGCATTGCGATAAGATCACATTTATGAAAATTGAAAACTATAGCATATTTTACTTTGTGATTTTGGTTGTGTATTGTGATTATTGATGAACTATCTTTATGGTAATTGAAAGCTTAAAAATTATAGGAAATTCAGTATTGAACTAGATAATGTTTTGTGTATATTAAGATGAGATCACATTTGTAAAAGTTGAAAACTAATGCATATTTTGCTTTGTGATTATGGTTATATATTGTGATTATTGATGAACTACTTTTATAATAATTCAAAGTATAAAATTTGTAAGAAATTCTTTATTAAACTAGATAGTATATTATATGTATTACAATGAGATCACATTTGTGAAAAGCGAAAACTATTGCCTATTATGCTTTGTGATTTTGGTTGTTGATGAACTATCATTATAATGATTGAAAGCCTAAAAATTGTAGAAAAATCAATATTGAACTAGATATTGTTTTGTGTGTATTGAGATGCAATGACTTTGTTAAAGGTAAAAATTATTGTGTATTTTGCTTTGTGATTCTGGTTGTGTATTATGATTGTTTATGAACTATTTTTATAGCAATTCAAAGCATAAAATTTGTAGGAAATTCTTTATTAAATTAGATAGTAGATAGCATGTATTGTGATGAGATCACATTTGTGAAAAATGAAAATTATTGCATATTTTGTTTTATGATTTTGGTTATGTATTGTGATTGTTGATTAAGTATCTTTATAGTAATTGAAAGATGAAAATTTGTAGAAAATTTAGTATTGAACTAGATAGTGTTTTGTACATATTGAGATGTAATGACTTTGTGAAATGTGAAAACTATTGCGTATTCAATAATCAAATCTTGACACTGTGAATTGTTTGAAGTTGTCTTACTTTATTGAACTGTGCAGGTCAAATGAAATGATAATTATTTTAAACTTTTTGTAGGATAAATATGTTGCTGCATTATCTTAGAAATATGGTGAAGACTCTTCCAATCATTCAGATTTTGATCCACAAGCACGGACTAAAGCTATTGGAATGGTTGAAGCTATATACACTCATGTATGGCTTTGGATCTGTAGATAGATCTAAAAAGCTATTTTACCCAATTCAATCCAATGTTACAACAACAATGTCTCACTCAGTTTGTGGCCTGTCATCTATGCCTCATCAACATCAGATACAAGAACAAATTTATAAGTTGAGGATTGAGTTTAGGCCTTTCATGGATCAAATGGTGCAGTTGATGGGGTCTAGACAGTTTCCATCAACACAATATTCTAGACTTGATGACGGTAATGTAGATTCTAGATCAAGAAATGTAGTAACACAGTGATGTCTTTTTCAAGACTTGTATGATGGATTTTATGGATTTCAATACTATATTTTATGGATGTTAACTTTATAGTTTGGATTGTTTTTGGATTATTTTAGAATTTCTATAGATATAAATTTTATGATGTTGATTTGATCTTTTAATCAATAATACATAAATAATAGACTTTTAAAATAATTACACATGTTTTATTTTTAATTTAAAGGTTTTTTAAATAATTATAAATGAATTTAATTAAATTATCGATGAAATTATAATCTTACCGATGGATTTCATTGACAAGATTATAGTTTTAGCTACGAAAATTAGAAATTACCAACAAAATACCAACATATTTACTGACAAAATCAACCGTTATTGATCTATTATCAACCAATTACCGACGAATTATCAACGGAGTATCGACAAATTAGTGAGGTATCACCAACGAAATACCAATAGAATATCGACGGATTACTGATAAATACTGATAGATTTTACTAATGAATTGTCGACACAATTACCAACAAAATAGTTACCAACAAAATGTTTACCGATAAAATTTTGAGTTGGTAATTACTAACAAAATTTTTAATTAAATAGATAGAATACTATTTCGTCGATAAATGTAACACCAGAATTCCATCAATAAATCTTTTTTTTTATATAGTATAATTACTCTAATTTGAGATACGAATCGTGTTTAGAAGAAAAAAAAACACACACACTAATTATCTAATTACATGAAAGAATGAAAGAATTGGTCTTAGATTTCTATCACAAATTATATGTTCAAGTATACTAACCTTCTTTCTTATAAATCTCCCTTTTTCAACAAATATTTTGGGAAATCTCAAAATCTCCACCCTGATGAAGCCAAACCCAGCAAAGAACGAGAGAAAGACTTCTCAAAGCATTTCAGAAATTGGTTCCAATACAGGAGTCCACGGCTTGTAATTCCGCAATCGGTAGCCAAGAACCTAATCCCCTTCATACATTTTTTCTCGCAAAACCTGAACTTTCGCTCTCTTCCTCCGTTCCATGTGTAAAATCTTAGTACAACTTTTTCTAATTTTCTTTCCACCAGAAGCTATTTCTATGACAGCCATATCGCATCCGTAACTTTGCAATGAACCCTCCCTATAGGAACCAAAACGTAAACTTTAGCCGCCAAAAGTTCATTGTCAGCTCGCATAGCTGCAGCCACGCGGTGAGTTCATTTGAGCTCTTCCACTAGAGAGATGATTAGACCTGGTTCCTGAAGCATGAGCTTCGCGGCATTTGCTGGGAGCTTGACTTTCCTCAGGTTCTTTTGAGCGTCAATTACTTTTATCATTTTTTTCGGCTTGAATCCTGAATGAAGCAGCTAGGTGTAGTTTACATAAAAAGCTTCCATCTAATCACATTAAAGGAAACAAAATCAAACAATGAATCGAATTTACAAAAGATAATAATTTAACGTGATTTGATCCAATTGACTTACATCTATGGATGAAAAATAAGATTCACTAGTTATAGAGAATCACAAATATACATCAAAATATATCAACTATTCAACAATCAATACCCATAAACTCTCTCAATCTACTCTAATCCTATAAAGTATTCTTAACTTAAACAAACACATACACATGTACATCCTTTCAGAACAACCAAAAACATAACCATATGCATCCATATATCATATCTATGTGGACCCTCTCAATCTCTTCTAATTCACTCACTAATAAATATACATACCAATAAAACGTAAATCTTAAGTAATCTTATAAGATGTTTACCCATAAAATCTTATAACTCTCTTATATTTTTTTTATATACTTAATCTTATAGAGGTTTCACTTATTTATAATCATACAAATTTATCTATTAAAAATATCTTTACTCTTGAAATTTTTTTTTTAAGTCAAACTTATTTATTAGGAATCTTTTTTTCTTAAAATTTTTTATTATAAATTTTTATCCATCAAATAATATTTGATCAATCTCAAATAAATCTCTTATAAAATTAGAATTATTATTCCCATCAAATATGTGGAAATTGAAGTTCTTATTATTTAGTTCGCTTTAACTTGAGTTCAAGCTGCCCACTGCCCACCGTAAAGAAGCTATAGTAGTATTTGCTAATTGCTACGGATGTCGAGACTTGAAAGAAGGAAGCGGGAGAACGAGGAAGAGTAAAAGAATCAAAGGTAAAATTATTAGTAAAAAAAAAAGGACACGTAAAAGGAGAAAACAAAGTAAGAGAAAGGGTAGCGGTGGACGAGTGGCAGAAGTTGGGACTTTAGTGGGGAACGCTGATGCTTGTTCTTGAGCTGCCAGTTAGAGCGTGGTTGAGACACAGGTTTACTTACGGGCTATGCTGCTGACGCTTGTGCCGTGGGGTCTTTTGCTTCGATGGACTACATTGGTCAGTGGTACGGAGGGTGGGGTTTAGGTGGTCCAGGCCACTCGACAATTTGTAATTGGGGGTAATTGAAGTATGACTTGGTCTTGGTACGTATCTTACGATGTTTGAATGACCTAACTTTTTAACAAAATGTTAGTACTACTATCATTTTCTGGCCGCCCCCTTCTTTAAAAAAAAAAAATGGGGAAAAAAAGTTGAGAGCTTCACAGCAAAATAGTGCATCACAAAGGTGACCAACTTAAAAATTGCATATGTTAAACATATAAATAAAGCATGTGCTTCTGGTTTCGGACACGAATCAACGTAGCAACCACAAAGTCGGAAAACTTTTTTTTTTTTTTACTCCTTTTTCATTTAACAAGATGCAGTTCACAAAATTATGTTTCGCAACCAGCTGCCCCACCATACCATGATAGAATGAAGAAGAACAAGCGTGTATCCAAATACATTTCACTTACAATTTACCAGATTTTATATAAAATATATTGAGACTTCGAGTCGATATCAAGTTGATTTGAAATATTTTAATACTCAATTTTTACCTTTTTACTAACAATATAGGAACTATTAGTAAGTATTATAATCAAGATTCAATAAAGTTCAATTACTTATTCGATCAATTTCAAAGTTGAAAACATAGTCGAATTCTGTTTGAGTTGACCGTCATGCCGGCCTCACACCTATGGATGGCTTAATGACACGGTTATAAAAGAACTTAACTAACGGTAACAGTAGTTTCCAGCGAAAACCAATCCCTTATTGTTAAGTTATCTAAGTTAATTGACAAAACTACAATACCAGAGACTTGCAGCCATAAGTAGATTTTTACACAGTAGTGACATAACTACCGCTTTCCACACATCCAATTTAAAACCCACTTAGGGGCTAGTTCAAACACAGTTTGATGAATACAATTTTTTTTCCTGAAGTCGGGCATGAGAAGATGAAATTGGGGTTTGGGAGTCTGTAGCATCTTCCTAAAGCATCTTTCTGCCCTTTCCCTACTTAATATACTGAGACATCCACTTGAAGCCATCACCATATCCCATTTTGCGGACAATACTGCACATAAATACCTCTAGTGGCCGGACATTTGAGTCCGCTAGGTTTACCTTCCCCTTGCCAGTGGTAAAGTTTGTGAGCCCAAGATGGTATCGTAACTCATCCTCCGAGGCAGCATATGGTATATCAATCTTGTTTCCTAGAATAAGAAATGGAACATTGGCCAGGGCCTCATCAGAAAGGAGTGCGTCCAGTTCCTTCTTTGATTCTGCAAACCTCTCTTTATCATAGGCATCAACCAGGTATACCACAGCATCCACCTGGAACCCAGAAAATACACTTAAGTACTCACTCAAGACCAGGCAGTCATAGCTTATAACAAGCAACACTAAGGACAAACAGTTAGAGCAGAAAACCAATCAAAGTGAGAGAAATGCAACATAATTGCATCCACTGCATGTAGTCAACGTCATGTAAACCCAGTCCCATTCGAAAAATGTTGCTTGAAAGCATTGGTCAGTGCTGATAGCAAACCACGTACAAACACTTCTTTGGTACAACCTTAACATTCCAGCTGGCAATTCTAGACCACCTCATTGACCACCCAGGCAGACCTTCCCCAAGATGTAGCTGATTAGGAATGGGGAAAGAAGACCAGCCCATGACCCACTGGGGATCTACCATTTCTATGCTTTCGTATTATTTGCTTTTGAAAAATCTTCATAAAAATCAACCAACAGCAAGCTTCAAGGTTGAAGAAAGCTACAGCTGCACAGAGAATACTTGGCCATCTTTCCAAAATGAATATTATGATGATCTACTTTAACAAAAGGCAAAAAGTAACAACTTACAGAAGACTGAAACAAGAGTTCAGACTTTTGCTTACTGTATGAGACCCATTATTCAACCAAGACTAAAGAAATAAGTCAAGCTGCTAAGCATTTCATTTAATCATTTAATAAGATGCTCATCAAGAATTCAAGACCAACCTCACTGAAAATTCATGACCATGAAAGACTTTGAAAATTAGCACATAACAATAGATTAGAGATATTCTTCTTTTGAGTCTCATACATCACAAGGCAGAAAAAATTCCACTAAGACTGTAGATGAAGATAGATCAGGCAAAAAAGCTTAAGTGAAACATATCAACACACACAAATTTCTGTGATCAAAACATTAATTTGAAAATCCAAGAGTAAAATATTATCCAAAGAAGAGTTTGTCTATGACTTCAGAAAAAGCCAGGAGTTTTTATTTATTTATTTGTTTGGAACCTAGGATGGGCATAACCCCTGGGGAAGGGATAGGAGACCTTGGTTCGAAACAAAAACCTCCATTTATCCTAAGAGCTCCTTAGCCACTAGGCCAAAAAGTTGAGGACGTGAAAACAAAATGATACTAATAATCCCTAAACCTAAAAACAACATAACATAGAATTCCTGCCAATTGAGACTGTAAGACCACAAAATGAATAAAAGGAAAACACATTCCAGTGAATGCTGAATTACTAAAACTAATAACCATGCAAACCGAGAATGACAAACTGTAGATAAGAAATAAAAAACACACACAAGTAAAAACATCGGAACCTAAAACCAAGCAAATGTTAGTGCAAAAAAAGGCATTACTTTCAGCTTTTGGTTACCTTAGCGTAGTAATCCTTCCAAACTCTGCGAGCAATCTGATGACCTCCCAAGTCAAATGCTTTGAACTTAATTTTCCCAATACTAAGCTCTTCCGATGTGGGATATTGAGTTGGCTGATGCTGAACCAATCTCTGCAAACATTTCACTAATAATCAACACCGCTAATTACCTCTCTTTCAAAATTTCCTCATTTCCATTAAAAATTAAAGAAAAATGAAGCATTAAAAGGCATTAATCTTTTCCATTTAAAAAGGAAAAAAAAAGCCCAAAACTCTCAAGTAGTTAATCAATCATACAAAGATAAAAATTTAGACAGTAAAGCGATCCAAAGAGATCCAAAATTATAGTTTCAATTTATTTATTTATTTTTTTAATAAAAGAAAGGGTATAAAAACATATTTCAATATTTGGAGCGAAATGGGAAAATCGTTAAAAGGACAAATAATAAAAGGGTGAGGAAAAACGAACCTCGTCTTTCAACATGTGAAGCAAGGTAGTTTTACCGGCATTATCGAGGCCGAGAAACAAGATCTTAGCCTCTTTCTGCCAGAGGCCGAGGGAGGCAAGAACGCCATAGAACCAATCGATAAGGAACATCGCTTTAGCCTTCGGTTCGGATTAGGGTACTCCGGAAATAAAAACGGATCGAGCTGGAAATTGTGACGATCTGAGTGTGGAGGACGGTAAGATCGTCGTAATCAAGGGCCCTGCTACGTATCATAAAAGAAAGGATCAATTTTGACCCCAAAATCAAGTAAGCGAGACGGAAAGGGGGCAATATTGGAAAAGGAGAACAGAAACTCTCGATGGAATTCACAAATCTGCGGTAAATTGAAATTTCATTACCTATATCTCTGTTTGTCTGTGGGCTCCCCTGCTTTTGCATGAGGTGACGTCGTTTCTTTTGAAACCGCAAAACTGTTTTGGGCTTGTAGGCTCTACATGCCACGACAAATTCATATTAACGGCTTTTCCTGTTTTCTTTTTCAGCCCATTTTTTGTTTTAAATTGTTTTCTACTGGCCTTCATTATTTTTATCACTATTTTTTTAATTTCAAAATTTATATCTAGATATTATTATTTATATATTAGTATTATATTTTATATAAAAATTATATATCATAATTTGTGTTGATATAAAAATATTAAATATTTTTTTTATTTCATTATATTTATATAATTATTATTAAATTTTAAATTGTGTTATTTTTATTTTTTATCTCATATTTATATTATATCATTATATTATATTTTAAATTATTAAATATATAAAAATAAAATTAATTATAATATTTTTTATATCATTTTCAATATTTATATTAAATATATACTTATATGTTTGAGTAATAAAAAAACTAAAAATGTAAAATTTTTATGTAAGATGTGATTCTTTGAATAAATTAAAAAAATTATTTATGTTTGATTGAAAAAGGAAGTTGTCTTTTGAGATTAAAAAAATAGACAATTAACCGCCTCTATCTCGTTAGAAACTTACTAACACCAATACCATTTTCTTATTATCAATTATAGATGTTAACTAAATACATTTAACAAGAAAAGTTGGATTTCAACTTAACAAGTTTAAGTTTAGGATAGTTAAATATTTATTGGCTTAACGATTATTTTAGCTTTTGAACTATGCAAAGAGGTCATTTTAGCTTATGATTTTTTAAGTCTTTTTGACCTATGATCTTTTTATTTTGAGTCAAATTGACTTAACTTTAATTAAAAGAGTTATATGTGATTGCATGATTAACAGGTGGCGTTAGGGTAATGGTGTTAAGGTGTCATGTAAGATGCTATTTCAATACTTTATTGTTAAGTGTCAATCCACATGCTAGTAAAAAGCCAAATAGTTGATGATGTGGCAACTTAAGAAATTTTTTTCTCCCACACATTTCATCCCTTTCTCCCTTAAAACTTTAAAAGCCTAACTGTCTATGAACAATCACCTTCTACCCAAATTTCGAACATCATATCATCACGTCAGTTGTAATCAACCATTGCTTGATAAAGCCTAAATTATCTATAAAATTTTTTTTTGAAAACTCCCTTAATCCTTTTTACCTTTTAATGGACTTACTTTTATCTAAATGATAAGTGCATGGTCAGCACGAAAGTTCAATACTAGATTATAGGTAAAGATGTGGTTGTTTTGGAATCTTTAAAGTTTTAAAGTAAGATTGTAAAAAAGTAAAGAAAGAAAATGTGGGAGAAAATTTTTGTTAGGTTGCCACATCATCAGCCACGCGGTGGTAAGTGCTAGTATGGTTGATGATGTGGCCTTATACATGGAACCCCTAAAGATATTGTTAGTTATGTGATTGCATATAACTTTTTTCGTTAAAATCAAGTTAATTTGATTGGAAATAAAAAGTCAAGGACAAAAATAACCTTTTTTATGTAGTTTGAAAGTCAAAGTAATCTTTATACTATAGTTCTTCTCAAATTTTAAAAGATATAAATTTATTCCAATTCAACTCACAAGTGTTTTTTTAATTCACCTTTTTTTAATAGAACTAAAGCCATTAGTTGATATCTTAATATTTATTCTCTTATATGCCATCTTCATCACATCTTAGTTTTTAGAATATTATTACGTATGATGTAGATGCTACAACTAGTAGAATAGACACCATAATGCATATGTTCTCATCTCTTAATCCAAGATGAAAATTGATAAGAGTAAAATTTATAGTTTTTTACAAGTTATTTAATTGAAAATTTTGAAATTTTGCTTAAATTTGGTGTGTTTAATGTGTGATTTTTTTATCTTTAGATTTAATACATATGGGACGTGAAAGCTATGTGATGCCATGCAATTCCATGCAAGATTTGATTAATCCTAATCTAAGTCATATTCGGCAATGTAATAAGGGAGGGTTAGCTGGATGCTAGTTGCACTATAACTCCTATATCCATTCGACTATCCTACTTACATAAAGAATCCTACAAGCATTTGGTAAATAAAGAATTCTACTTGGATAAGGACTCCTATATATATTTGACCTATTAAAAAAAAAAGAGAATAGAAATAATAAAAAAAAATGGCTTTGAAGGGTGAAAACCACTTTCGTAAAGATAATTATGTCTCTATGATACAACAAAATCTCAAACTTTTAAATCAAAAGTAGTAAAAATAGTTATACTGAAAGATCTATTTATAATGAATAAACATACATAAACTTTTATTCAAATGGTTATGATTTTTTGTATAATCATGACCATTCTGAATAATAATCTATTTATATTCAAATAGTTATGACTATTTGTCATATAATAATTGTTTCTTTTTAAACATAATTATTTAAAATATGAATAAAATTAATACAAAAATTAATTTTATTCATCAATAATTAAATCATTCTATCCAATGTGAAATGCACCACATTCTAAACTATCAATAATCTCCTATTAGTTTGAAATGTTGGTGTTTAATCTTTAACCTTTCACACAAATAAATATTATGAGTATAAAAAGGTATATCTCAATTTAAACCTTCAATTAGCATATATATATTAGAATTCTATCAAAGTTGATCGTATTCGCAAATTAAACCTCAACTCCTAGTATTAGAATAAAAATATAATGCATATAATATTTATTTATTCTTCTGTCAAAGGTTTATAATTGCTTTAGCACTATTATAACCATATACTTATCTTATTCATAAATATTTATAAGAGAAACCCTAATTTTTCTTGTTGAAGTAACACCACTTCTATGTTTATATAGGTAAAGTTTTCATTATATCTCCATCACTTTAGACATTTAAATAATAAACTCCATTAAAAATATAAAAACTCATCTTTCTCATACAATGGATCACATTAGTTTTTGAAATTTAAATGGATTTTACTAGTATTTGATAGACACACCAATAACTTTTTTTTACTCATTAAACTTTGCAATTAAAGGTTACTAATTCAAAGTTTGTTTCTCATTATTGGTGTCTAATAGTAAGGGTTTAAATCTATTCTACTTGTAGTACTACTAATCAAATATCTTGAAATTCAATATTCTTTTATGGTAATTACCTCCACTTGATATTAAATCTCTAATATAATCATTTCAATCTAATATATCTAAACTTTTCACTTTGCATATCATTTATATGCTCTAGATATTGTTGCCTCATTTTTGTCATTTTAAGATATAGATGATATTAGTTGTGGCCTAAACTCTATTCTTATTAATATAAAATTTCAACTATTCTATTTCTCTACTTTTATCTAGTTTAATACAAATATTCTTCTAGTACATTTTGATAAACTAAATGGATAGAACAAATCCTTTTAGCCCTTTTAATATATATAAGGACCTTTTTTTTTATGATTTCACTTTAATAAGTGCACTAAACTTATTAGCTTGTATAATTTGCTTATAAAATTATACTTAAATCTTACAATATTATGCTAACAATTTTATTTCTTTTAATTCTTATCACCTCCACCATATACAAATATGCATTCTTTTATTAAAAGATATCTCATTTAGTTATCAAGATATCATGTATACTTAATCAAGTAACCATTTCATTTATCATTTCACTATTTGGTGGTTTTTTTTTTTTTAAGTAAAAGGCCTCCAAATCCACTTTAGTGGAGGATAACTAGTAAATATTCTATAACTTAATACTTTCTTCTCATAAAAGTTCCAAAACTTTTATTTAAACTCAATATGAGAGTATACATCAATAAGAATGATGTCAAATATAAGAGTATACATCAATAAGAATGATGTCAAATATAATTACTCTCAATTTTTTTTTTTTTAGTATACTCATGCTTTTTATAGTCTCTTTTTAAGACTTTCATGCCAACTCATGAAAACTTATGAATGTATTTGATCATGTCAACCATTTACCAATTTATTACCATGAGTAAAATCATGTTTATCACTCAAATGGGTCAAATAGCATTCATTTTGCTATTTAAATTTTTTTTTTATTTACAAAGACTTTGAATCACTCATAGCTTTCAAAGTAAATATAATTTTATACTTTCACTATATCTCAAAACTAAAATCATGAGATGTAGATCATTTATACACACCATAATTATTATCAAAGAAAATTAAATAAATATCAATTTTATGTAAAGACTACTGAGAAAAACTATTTATGTATTATTTATAAATAAATAATTTTCAAACTTATCAAAAGCACAATTCATTTAAGAGTCATACCACATTCTCCATGGATAATTCATTTAGTGACCAATTCAAAGGATTAAGGCTATTGTAAGCAAATATCATTACCAAATCCACACACTAAGGGTGCATGACTAATACACATCCTTGCCATGAAATTATAAAAAGCCAAGGAGATTTATGTATTTTCTTTTTTTTTAATTAATCTATGCAAATAATGTCATATATCCTTACAATTATTTATAATCTCTTTTTGCATTAAAACAAACTTTATTTAAATTGTTGTAATTACAAACCATGTTATCTTCTTCTTGGCATTCCAAAATAAAACTTATCAAATCCATAAACATGGCTAATAAGAAATTAGTGCATTGCCTTCAAATTATCAGTAATTAGCAATAGCCTTTAATGTTATTAATGATGTGCTTTTTCCATTTAAACTTGAATATCACATTTAACCCAATTTGTTGGCCAAACTTTCGATTTGAAATAATAACATAAAATTTCACAAATAAATCATGCCAATATATTCACCCTATTAATTTCATACTACTGCTAGCCACAATTTTGAAAAGTCCATTCTAGTGAAACTTTTGAAATGCACAATTAATAAATTTCAAAAGCTAAGAATATGAAAAACAATCATGAAATTGGATTCATGCAACAGAATCAAACAATGAATTACTG